TTAAAAAACATTTTACTCTCTGACAGTTAAAACAATAAAAAAAAATTTTATGCATAAAAAAATCAGGAAAAGGTGTTTTATTTAAATTGGAACCACGAGTCCACATATATGGACATAATTTTTTTCTAAAAGTACATTATATCAAAAGATGATACTTGGGTTTTTATTCTAATTAGGTTCCAATAAGCCCAAATAGCAGAGAGAAATAAAAAATGCATGTAAAATACACCTAATTCCCCCCAATTCCCCCCCCCCAAATAAAAAAAAACCCCATTAAGTTTGAATAATTAGGCTATGAGATTTTACCCATTTGTCAACAATAAGTTTAATGATCTAAAACAACTTTAAACTTATTCATTTGTTATTTCATTAAAACTTAACATCATACTTGTTTAACCATTTACCTATCTAATGCATACATGTCAAAATTACATGACATATTAAAGACCACCTACTTTTGTAAGCTGTTTGGACAGAACTGTGTAGGTATAGTGTGTCCACAATCATACTGGAGTGATAGAAACACAATAAGTCTCTTTTTTTAATTACCTGACGTTAAAATTGGACCAAAATCCAAGTAATTATGAGGTGCAACATGACGTAGGAGTGCAATTTTTCCCGCCCACCGAATTGATTGACAGGTGCCATGTTACTATAAAATGTACGCATGTCCACAGAACATTTCTTTGCAAATAAACTGGTCTAAAAATAAGATCTCCAACTCTCTGTAATTTTTATAAGTTTTAGGTTTAAAATGTTTTTAAAACAGCATGTTTGTAATTAAGACAGTAAAATCGCTGTATTTCTTAACTGCTAAAATCAACAAGGTCGCGTGGTGTCCAAAAATGCGCATATACTGTGTATATATGTGTGTGTGTGTGTACTGCAAATGGCATTTGTGTGTGACTCATCGTTTCAGAAAGGCTTGGATAAACTCCACCACAAATACATCAAATAAACTTACTTGGTATATTTGAGCTGTATTTCAGCTTCGTCCAAGTCTGTCTCTATCACTGGCGGCTGTTTATCTTATGTAGAAGCAGATGCACATGGGAACGGTGGGCGGGGAGAAGCAGCTCATTTGCATTTAAAGCCACAGGCTACAAAAACAACTACACTGTACTCGGACACCATAATGGGCAGATTCTGGAGCCCATAATAAATAATCTGATGGATATTTTGAGCTGAGGCTTGTAAAAGGGGTAAAATAAATGCACTTAAATGTTAATCAATAATACCACAAGTTAAATATGAAACAGATACATTTTACACAGGACATAAGAATCACATTTATAATATAATCATTTATTTCATTGAATTTAGTCATTTGCAGAGTGACATTTACTGATTGAGTTAAACGTGTGTTTAAGCATCAGAAACAGTATCATACTTGATTTTCACAGGAACAAAACAACAAAAGTTGAAGCTATAATAAAACGTATTTAGTAAAAAGTGTAAGCAGCAAAGGTTATTCAATTTAAGGCAGTTGTTGTGAACGAATTTAAATAATTCATTGCTACCTAAACTAAAAAAAAGCATCAAATCTGCCACATGCATGCAGTTGACATCGATGTCGTCATTGCCATCCACTATAAATGATGTAACAGAATTAAAGGAGCAGCAGCTGTTTAGCTTGTGATATTGGGCTCTGTGCTGACAGTCCGGGCTGGGATTTGGGACCATTAAGCTGCTTTAATGCCAGCGTTTCCCATATTAGAGTCAGTATAAGATGCCAAAATGCGCAGAGAAAGTGTATTTTTGGCCTGCTCTTTTTTCCTGCATTGCTCAAGAGCATTCCTCATAGCACAGGCCTGAAAGATACTGTATGTGAACGTTAATGTTTGTAGCAGGTTAAGCTGAATATGTCAGACCGTTTCTCTTTCACATCTATTATTACAGACATGATGACGCTGTAGTTGAAATCTTGCTGGCATGTTAGTCAAAGTTGAAGTGCATAGATAGCAATCTGTTCTGAATAGGCCTGCCACAATAACTCATTTTTGTTGTGTGAAATATTGTCACAGAAATTCATGTGAAATTTGACAGTTTAAGAACATTTAATGCCATGTATTATTTAATGATTATACAACAGCAACATTTTTAGTTCTTAAAGAAATAGTTCAAATAAAAATGAAATTTACCCCATAATTTACTTTACTGCGTAAAATGTATGGAATAGTTGCCAGTTCATAAGCTGATGTAAAATTCATGGATCAGCCTTCTATCACCCCTTAGTGTAGTATGAGCTTTTGAAAGCTTCAAAATTAAAGTCACTATCCAACAGTATTAAACGACATGAAAGAGGCAGGACCACATTTAAAACTACTCCGGCTGTGTTTGTCTGACAGAAAAAAAGTGGATGAAAAGAGGATGACTTGAGGGTGAGTAAATTAAGGTGAAATTTTATTTTGGGGTGAACTATTCCTTTAAAGTTAAATAGGGTGCTTTCACACCTGTAGTACATTTCCTTTGGTCTAGACCAATGTGAAATATTATGACCCTGTCGGCACAATAGCCTAGTGGTTAGCGCGTTGACATTTCCGCTTCCTGTCTAAATACTGTCATATCCAATACAGGCAAAAAGGCCAAAAATAAATCTAAAAAAAAAAAAAAAAAATGATGATGACCCACTATTTTTCTGTCATTTTAGATTGTGTGTCATAAGTTTTGGTTTCCCATTTGGAAACGTTAAAACAGAACCATGCAGATTCAGAACACGTCCTCTCCAATCATTTGGTGTTCGTCCGTTTGGTGTGTTCACATGTAGCTTTTTGGTCCGGACGGAACTAGACGTGAGCTGATGTGAGATGAAACACAGTTGGGTTTCATCGGTGCTGGTTGTTTGGGGTCAACTTGGTGTGTCCCAGCACTCATACTATTGAATAGGCATGGGACGATAACAGTTTTCAAGGTACTGGATACCGCAGTTAGGAAAAGTCAAGGTTTTAAAACCACCAAATTTTTCTGTAATATCGTTCCTAAGGTATGTGTAAGATTTTTTATTTATTTATTTATTTATTTTTTTAGGACAGCAGTATATTCAGCAGAAAAGATCCAAAGATGCCATTCAAATGGTAAAGAAATATGTGTTTTAAAACAAATGAAGACAGCAGACGTCAATGATTAATTTGAATTATTTAGCCTGACATGTTTACTGCTCTAAAATATTTAAAATGTTTGTTAAAAGGGGAAAAGGTTTTTGTTTTTTACCCAGACATTTAAAAAGAATATATTTTAGAGCAGTAATCACTATACTGTGGTACCGTGAAACAGTGATATATTTTTCCAAGGTTATTATACCGTCAGAATCTTATATACCGGCCCATGCCTACTATTGAACAACACCCATTCTTGTCTTAGGACAATATTTGGATACATTTGTTTTCCGATCAATTTCAAATGTTGACTACTATATATTGCGTCACCAAAAGTGACTGAGGTCCATGTATTGCGCAATAAGTCAATATATTGAGACAGGCCTAGTCCTGAATAATGTTACATTCAGCTTGAGAGAGTTTTAAAGGTTTCTTCCTGGCAGAGTAATGCCATCATGCATGCTAAATATGTACAGCGAGACTGTATTTTGCATTCATGTCCGCATTTGAGCACTTGCATAGAGTGTGCTTTGAGCCTAAATTTAGATTAGTAGAGATCGTGAAAAGATCTGCATGATTGTTGCAACATTTATAGATTAAAATAACTGTTCACAGACATATTACATTCTGAAAATGGAGATATACAGTACAATACAAAAAGATGTTTTCAACTCCTGGAAGCATTAGGATGTTCTCTGGTACACGACAGACAAGACTTTTCTCAGTTTTGGTACAGTGCTGTTACAGGATTATAGTTGTACGGTCAGACACTTAAGAGTACAATTGGATATAATCAACACACATATCAATAATTGATGTAGAAAAGTGCATAATTGTAACGTTATAATCGTATTGCTATAGTAACAGTTTCAAAGCCTCATGCTTTATCGGAGTAATTAATTATTAATCAATAATATTACAATACAATCTTACATACTGAATTGTAATAATGCACTATGGATTATTATTGCTGTATAGAGCTGGAAGAATTTACTATGATAGGGCTGGACGATTTTGAAAAAGAAATTGAAAACATATTGAGGTTTGCTGTGCTTTTTTTAGGGCTGCATAATTTGGTGAGGGGTTATACACAGTTGAAGTCAGAATTATTAGCCCCCCCCCCTCTCTTTGAATTATTATTTTTTCTTTTTTAAATATTTCACAAATAATGTTTAACAGAGCAAGGAAATTTTCACCGTATGTCTGATAATATTTTTTCTTCTGGAGAAAATCTTATTTGTTTTATTTGGGATAGAATAAAAGCAGTTTTTAATTTTTTAAAAGCCATTTTCGAGTCAATATTATTAGCCCCTTTAAGCTATTTTTTTCAATAGTCTACAGAACAAACCATCGTTATACAATAATTTGGCTAATTACCCTATTCTACCTAGTAACCCTAATTAACCTAGTTAAGCCTTTAAATGTCACTTTAAGCTGTATAGAAGTGTCTTGAAAAAATTCTAGTAAAATATTATTTACTGTCATCATGGCAAAGATAAAATAAATCAGTTATTAGAGATGAGTTATTAAAACTATTACTGTATGTTTAGAAATGTGTTGAAAAAATTTCTCTGTTAAACAGAACTTGGAGAAAAAAAATAAACAGGAGGGCTAATAATTCATACTATAATACTTCAACTGTATACCAGCATAGATATATAATAATGACAGTAACAATAATATCAATAATAATAAAAAAAAAATTAATATTATATATATCAACATTTTGTCCAACTTTTGGCAAAATTTGGATTGTTCTTCTTCTTATTATTATTAAAAATATATATTACGTTAAAAATATTCCAAATTATATTCAAACACATAAATTATATTAAAAATTCAATAGAAAACACTACATTATTATTATTATTATATATACATCAACATTTTGTCCAACTTTTGGCCAAATTTGGATTGTTGTTCTTATTATTATTGTTAAAAATATATATTACATTAAAATATTCCAAATTATAATCATATACATAAATTATATTAAAAATCCAATAAAAACACTACTAAATAAGCAGGAAAGACTTATCGTACCGTACCAAATTCACTGAAAAATAAAAAGCAAGTCTTTCAGGAAAACAATATTTTTAATAATGTTTTGTTTCTTAAAACTGTAAAATGACAATTCTAATATTAATGGCTGCCTTAATTTCTGGATATTAGACAATCCCTGTTTTTGTGCATATAATCATACAATCAGTACTGTCATTGAAATCATTAATTCAGCCTCGATAAAGAAGTGGTAATGGCTTCTTGAAACGATTACCACTAGGGGGCGAAATGCAAAATGGTGGAAAATTGGCTTAAATTCTGACACTGTTTGTTCAAAACCCTCCAAAATATCATATGTGGTTAAATATCAAGCAATTTTTAATAGATGATGTAATACGTATATTTTCATGAATTTTGGTAACCAAATTGTGTTTAACAGAATAATAAACTCATATAAATTTGACAATTTAAGGGTAAGTAAATAATAAGTACTTAATAATTGTTTTGGCAAACCATCTCGCAATTTTGTGATTAATCGTGCAGCCCTAAAAAAAAAAGTCACCTCTGAGTTCAGCAACATCCCCAGCATTTCTCAAGAAAGACTTCTTCATCTTGGCTTGTCAAGCACAGATAGCGGTTCCCACACTCCTCCCAGCGAGAGATTCGTCCATCTTCCACCAGGACGAACTTCCACTCCACCTGGCTCTCCACAGGAAGGCTGACGGTGTTTGCCCAGAACCCGTCTTTGGCTCTTTGTAGTGGAATAAAACTCTCCCAGGCCCCCAGTTCCTGTAGGCTCCCAGTCACAGCCACCAGCTGGAGCGCAGAGTGTGTGATGTAGTGAATCCTGAAGGTCACACTAACCGTTTGCGCTAAAGGTGGAACGGTTGCTACTCTTTTATTGGCCAGCTCCTCCTCATCTTTGGCTAAATCAGCTTTGGGTTTGCCTTCTTCATTAATGCTTGCATTTGGTGTAAGCCAAGGACGATCTTTAAACTCTGGCGCGCCTACGTTTAACCACTCGTTATTGTCCATGATGGCGTCCATGATGCTAATCTGATTCTTCTCATGTTTCACTTCCACCGTTGCGCCTTCTTCATTGGCTTTCTTCTCTTGTGAGAGACTCATTTGCGTCGAAGACACACCAATGAAGGTATTATCAGTTTGGAAACCCAAGTAGTTTTGGAAATCAAACCTGCTACAGTGATTGACCATGGTCTCCACAGTTGGAGTGAAAGTGTCTGTTGCGTAGCTTCCAATTGGAAACCATGGCTGGCCTTTCATTCTCTCCATCTTCTTATCACAACAACAGCAATCAAAGTTATTCGTCCGTGCAAAGCGCCAGTCGTGATGATCTTCAAACTTCTTGCATGCTTCCTCTGCTGTCTTGATGTCTTCCTCTAAGTGATTCTTACTGGGTTTGTGGTCCACCGATTGGCATGAAGAAGAATTGTGCAGAGTATCTTGGCGTCTTTGATAAACAATATCCTGAGCGCTTTCGGTTTCAGATGGCTCATCTGTGTCTAAACTCTGTCCTCCTTCCGGTTTGTCAAGAAATTCCTCAGTTTTCTCAATCTGGCAGTCTAACTGCGTCAAACGTACACAAGCATCCGCCACAACCTCACATCCACCATCATCATTCTCCTTTAGCCGAATATGATCTTCCTCACACTCTGTGTTTTCATCAGGATCTATTTCCATGCACGGATCAAAATCAGAATCTGTTTTGTCTCCCATTTCAGGTTCCAGGTCTGTTAGAAGCTCATCTGTAATCTCCTCCAAATCCTTAAGAGTGCTTTCATTCAGGTCTTTCTCTGCTGCCTCAGTAGGAAGAGGTATATTGTTGGTGGCTGACGAATAACTGGATTCACTGCGGTGCTTTTTCTGCTTTGCATCTTGACATTCTGCTAAAAGAGAACGAAAATGCATTAGCCGCCCGCGTCACAAGCGCTTCAGGTGATCAAACATTAATATGGGAACTCTATGAGCAGTAAACATACAGTAGTCTTGTCTCTTGATCCCTTTTTTTCATCTGAAAATATTATTTGTACATTACATTTTTGTCAATTTATTGTTATAATTATATAGTATATAATATATAGTATATATTTGTTTATACAAGAGTTCTGTCTGGTTCTCGAATTTGATTGGCTGATAGCTTTGAGATGTTAATTTGATATCAGCATTCGTACAGCCTCTTCATCCTTCTGTATTACTCCACTCATGAGTGGCAAGCAGAGAACTACAGTTTGACAAATATTGCAGCTGTTGGACAATATAATGTACTTTTGAGGCTTTTTTTAGCCAAGTATGCAGTTGTTTAAATTGTAACTATTCAGTTTATTTATAAGGATAGTGCATATTTTAAATATTCATATTTTGGAGATTCAGCCAAGCGGCAACCTCCCGCTCTCCCTCAGGAAGCCAATACGGAAGTAACTAAAATTGCAATTCATCCGAAATTCCGCTAGTCCTGGCCGCTCCTGGCTCCAAAACAGAGCAAATTTCAATTGAGCCCACTGTTAGAATGGCCAACTTACAGCAGAAAAAAAGGTGTTTACAGCCTGGTACAAAAAAAGATTTTGGTTAATACAGCTAATATTACCCTTCATGACAACTGTGAGGGGGGTGAATTTTTTTTAGAACTCATCCGTTTCCTTTATATTAAGTTATATTAAGTTTGCGTAATTAAGGGCGTGGCCACTTGAGTGACAGCTAGGTCTCGTTGGTTGCCGTCACTTCACCTCAGCTGAATCCTGCAGATTAGCCACTGAACTCGGCATATTCATCGTATTTCTGTGTTGTTTTATGTGGCTTTACACAGTCAACTGCCTTTTGGACTTGTTTCCTATAATTATTTGATGGAATGTCATGCTGAGTGAACTAAATTGTGCTCACAAACCATTCATGTGGCCTCCGTTTCCCATGTGAGTAAAGTTATATACTTATATACCATCTCTATACATGTATTTGTTTTATTTAAGATCATTTATCGTTTATATTTATATTTAGAGCTGTAATGCACTCCAGAATCTGTCAGATTGATTAGCTGTAGGCTCTAGAACAGTCATCTGAAGCGTTGTCATACAGTGTTATGCTGGATTTTATCAATAGTCTTACAGTAACTAACACAGACTATATCTGAAGTGTTTGTAAGTAATTCGCGTTTTCTTCCTGTTGAAAAACGTCATAAGAACAATGTTTAGTGGCTCAATGTATTACAGCAGTGTTTTTAAAAGTCTAAACACTTTATTGATATAGTGTACAACCAAGCACATGTGGTCAGAACACAAACGAGTCACAGGTGATAAAGTATTAAGCATTTCTCCCAAGGTAAAGTGTGTCTGAACCAGGTCCAAGCTAAATGCTAGCAGGTGTCTGTAGCTCCGCTCACTCTCCGCCTCTTTGCCCTTGTTTGGTATCTCGCCGTGGGTGTGATGACGCGTGACCAAAATGGCGACGGTTGGCCGCGCCTACTTGTGGCTTCTTTTGCGCTCTTCAGAAACCTATGGGTGACGTCACGGATACTACGTCCATATATTTTACAGTCTATGGATTCAGCGCATTGATGGCCTGTCATACTGAGCAGAGCAAAGACGGTTAATGTTCTGCCACAAGGTGGCGACTAGTACAGCATAATAAGTCCTTAAAGGAGAAAAACAGCCCATTTTTTATTGTTTGTGTTAAACTACAGCTAAACAAATCATTACAGAACAGGTAAGGGACATTCTAAGTTGATCTCTCTTGTATTTCGTAGCGCTGTATTTATAGTGGTAGTGTTTGCTAACAAAAGTAACGGTTTCTGCTGTTCTGGCGTCAGCTGCAGATGTGAAGGAATGGCGAAAGAAAAAAACGCGCTTGTGGTTTTTTTAGTTACTTCTTTGGTATGGTGCGTTAATCAAGAAGGTAATGATTCGCACTCAATTGCTTCGTACTGTTTTTATTTTTACTTTCACTTACATTTTACAGGTGATAACAGACAAACAGACGTTTCGGCACAAAGCTTTCCTCAGTGTGTGACACAATTCTCTAACTCCACCCTTATTCCATAGTCAATCACAATGTGCAATTAGTTAAACTGTCACTCTCATTTCATTATCCATTAATCACACAATAACTTATAATCTTCACAGCAATGACAATAAACAATCTTCCCATTTCCGACCTCACTCTACAGAGATAAAGTGTATCAACTATTATCATTAATCAGGTGTACATCCATACAATAAAATTCTAACAGTTGACATTAAAAGTTTTCTACATTTGACAATTACCCAAAGATTAAAATCGTCTGTTTGTCTGTTATCACCCGTAAAATGTAAGAAAAAGTAAAAATAAAAACAGTACGAAGCAATTGAGTGCGAATCATTACCTTCTTTTGAATAATAGAAAGAAAGTAGTTCCTCTTACAAAAGTGTTTTTGAGACTGTGTTTGATTTTCTTTTTCATATACACTATTATGCCATTGAACTGTTGTATGAACACAATATTACACTCATAGCAGTGTGATGTGGCTGTATATTGTTACTGGTGGGATACTAACAGCCCATTCACATGGGGCGTCAGCTCAACTGGGACTTTCTCAACTTTTCAAGCGAAGACGGAATCGTCAGCTAATCAGATCGCTGTATGCAAATACACCAGCTCAGACAGTAGCAGATTGCTGACTAATTTTTTATTGGCTGATGCTGCTATGACGATCACGTCAGCCCCAACTTTCACACCGGCTTCTGTCAAGCTTTGACGCTGAAGTGCCGTGCGAATGCACAGTTACGCACTCAGCCTGTGGCCTTGAGTCAAACGTACTCCTCCCACCAGTGCCGATATACAGCCATATCGCACTGCTATGAGTGTAATATTGCGCTTATATATTATGTAGTGTCATTGTATCTAAATCTGTATCTAAATCAGTTTTATTGTGTTTATTGTTCATTTTATTACTATATTTGTAATGTGAAAAACGGTTGGTTTACCAGGAAAGTGCATTTCACTGTTTTTAATCTAAATATAACCTACAGCTGAAGTTACTCTACTGTGGTATCTGGCACAATGTCTATTCATCTATTATTATAAAGTTGAAAAGTCAGAATTATTAGCCCCCTTGATTTATTTTTTTTCTTTTTTAAATATTTCCCAAATGATGTTTAACAGAGCAAGGAAATTTCCACAGTATGTCTGATAATATTTTTTCTTCGGAAGAAAGTCTTATTTGTTTTATTTCAGCTAGAATAAAAGCAGATTTTAATATTTAAAAAAAAAACATTCTAAGGTCAAAATTATTGGACTTTTTAAGCTACTTTTTTCCCGATAGTCTACAGAACAAACCATTGTTTTTCAATAACTTGCCTAATTACCCTAACCTGCCTAGTTAATCTAATTAATCTAGTTAAGCCTTTAAATTGCCTTTTAAGCTGTATAGAAGTGTCTTGAAAAATATCTAGTCAAATATTATTTACTGTCATCATGGCAAAGTTAAAATAAATCAGTTATTAGAAATGAGTTATTAAAACTATTATGTTTAGAAATGTATTGAAAAAAAATCTCTCTCTTTAACAGAAATTGGGGGAAAAATAAACAGGGGGATAATAATTCAGACTTCAACTGTATCAACAAAACATAATCAGTAACTGAGTAGGAATGCATCCAAAAATGTGTAAAGTCACTGAGCACTGAAAACAACCATGTTCAGAACAGTGGCCTTGAGCTTGTGACTTACTATACACAAACTAATCAACTAATTGGCTTTGTAGAATGAATTGCTAGTGCTTACGAGGCAGGAAAGCGCTAGTCTTTAAGTTTATGTTTCCGCTTTTGGCTCTATGAAATGAAATGCGGTATTAGAGCTGCCTTCAACTTTAGTACTGTCACGACATTGGCATCATCTTGTATTCTGGCGGCTGAACAAGAGTCACTGTCAGTTATTTTTTTGACCTTCAAACAGCACGCACAAAAACAGGAATAGAATCGCCAGTAGGACCATATTAGGCGTTTTTATACTGCATATGCACAAGCTTTTTAATGTTTCAATTTTATAGGGTGACAAAGAAATATATCAGGGTTTCTGCAGGTTTCATCAAGTCAAATTTAAGCCTTTTTAGGAGCCTTTTAAGACCATTATGAATGAGATTTTAGACTTACACGAGGCTAAACACTAAGGATTTTTAGCAATGGCCTGGTTGGACCAATAGAATTGAAAAAAAAAAATTTTTAACCTCATATTTTGATGTGTCAAAACAACTCTAGTTGTATAGACTTTTTTTCAACATGATTTTTTTTTATTTTTCTAAATAACAAGTTTGACATTGTTAATATTTAATATGAAGAAAACTACACAAATAATCAAAAAATATATATTTGTTTGCTTTTGGTCCGAATTAACTCTTCAACTCCTATTCAACCTAAATCGTTCCTGTTATAAACCTTAAGTTTCGTGCCAGTTATAAATATTATGTTCACTTTTCAACTTTATTCTGTAAATAGTTTTTGTGTAAATTGAAGATTACATAAAGTGATATATTGCTGTAATGATCATGAGGAATTGTGTTTTTAGTTTTTCTTTTTAGATAATTTATTTTTTTAAAAATTGCTGTAAAATATCTAACAGCTGTTGTGGAATAAACATTTCCTTGCAATAAAAAACTAAATATAAATATAAACACTATATATATATATATTTAGTAGGATTGTTGGTGACATTACTTCGACCACATTTAAAATTAAGACCTGTATAAAAATTCCTTAAGACATTCAACACAATATTTCTGTGAATTTAAGCCTTTTCAAGGTCTAAAATGTTGTTTTGTTTGTTTTAAGACCTAGCAGACACCCTGAAAATAAAGAGTATTATGTTTCATTCCTTCAGTCATTTACGGCTTAGTTTCTTTTATTAATCTGGGGTCGCCACAGC